GGCGGGGGGGGTTGTCCCTGTGCTGGAGATGCCACGGCCACAACTTGGCTCCAGTTGCTTGGTCAAGGAGCCCATCATGGTTCCCAGTGGGTGCTGGGATGGGTGGGAGTGAGTCCAGCCCTGCCACCTCCCCTTGGGCTGGGGGACCCCCAGCTCATCCCAGCACCCTGAGCATCAGCGGGCTGGGAAACTGCTCCTTGGCAGTGTTCAGCAGCTCACAGGGGACACCTGTGTCATCTGCAAGGGACAGGGTGGCTGGGAGGGGGGTGTCACCTTCCCCGCTCTCTCCCCAGGATGAACCAGGCCCCCACGGTGGGTTTTGAGGGAGACGTGGGCAGTCGGACCACACACCACTTCATGTACCCCGAGAGTGCCAAGAACCTGCCAGCCAACGTCAGCTTTGTGCTGGTGCCCTTCAAAACCCTGGACCTGCTCTGGATCGCCAGTGCCCTCTCCACCGGCCAGATCAGGTTGTAAGTACCTGGCAGGCACTGGTGGCACCAAGCTGGCCCCTCTGCTGCTGTGGGGGCAGCTCCCCCGGGTGCAGTGGGGATTCATCAGTTCCTCCCTCCTGGACCATCCCAGGCAGCTCGGGCTGGGGTTGGGGGGTGCAGGACCCCCAGGATCTCACCTGTCTCTCCACTTTTTTCCCAGCACGTACGCGCCTGTGAAGCCTTTTCTGCGGGTGGACAAAGAAAAGGTAAGGAGGATCATCCCAACCATGGTGCTGAGCACCCGTGTGGCCATGGCCACATCACCCCATCTTCCCCTGGAGTCCCCACACACCTCTTGGTGCTCCTTCCTGGGGTGCTGATGCCGATGGGAGTTTGGCCGGGACTCTGGCGCTGACCCCAGCCCGTCCTCCCAGGTGCAGATCTACAATCCTGCCTTCTTCAAGTACATCCACGATCGCTGGACAGAGCACCATGGGCGCTACCCCTCCACTGGCATGCTGGTGCTCTTCTTCGCCCTCCACGTCTGTGATGAGGTGGGTGATGGCTCCTTGGGGTCCTTCTCTGAGCTGTGGGGGGGTCCTGGATGGGCTGAGGAATCCCAGAGGAGCTGTGGGGTCCTGGATGAGCTTGTGTGGTCCCAGATGGGCTGTGGCATCCCGGATGGCACAGGAAGGGCTTTCTGGGATCCTGAACCTTGCAGGGTCAAGGAGGAAGGCGGCTTCTTTGGGTTCCCACCACAGCAGTTTTGCTTGCTTCTGCTGCCTGACACCACGGTGATGGGCACCCTTGGACGGTGGGGAGGCTCTGCAGGGGGATGTACAGCTCTGACAGTGCCAAATCCTCCCCCGGCAGTGCGGTGGGTGCTCAGGCGAGGGGATCCGGGCTGGCTCACCCCTCTTCCCCCCAACACAGGTAAACGTC